TCTTAGCTAACAAAATAATTTATATTATGGTTACGATTTAATTTATCATTATTTCTATAAAATAGTGGAACTCATTGTAAACTTTAGTACGATTTTTTCGGTACTTCAAATTTATCAAACGCTTTTAAATATTATATATTCATTTGCAAGTTTTGTCACATTAGCTGATTCGAATATTGGTTTAGCATATGTTCGAAAAGACGAAAATCCATTCACCAGACACCAGTAAGAGTCAGATTTGGTTTGCAATTCTGACAACTACGCAAATTGTCATGGATTCCACAACACACCTGATGGTCATAAACTTGCTGCAAGCTATTCAATAATTAATTACTGCATGGAATGTCTATGTTCATTAACTTAATCAGAACCTTTATGGAGATGAGGATTTACGTACAGATTAATGTTTTCAACTCTCTAAATGATTTGGAAGGTTTTGTTGAAAATGAAAAGCGGAAGAGTGTAATTCAAACCAAACTTACTGATTATTAAAAAAATGCAAATAAAATCACAGTTTCAATATATTCATTATAGTTTCAATATAGTAATAACTAACTTTGGTGGTTCGTTATTCATTTTGCAGAATGTTCAATTGTATATCTGTTCTGCCAGCTTTATCCCACTACAATCATTTGACAGGCAGGAATGCCACAGATCGTAATGCGCGTGAAAGTCGCCTAAAACCAAACGGTTCACACGAAGCAGCGGGTGACATACAATTAGGCAACATGTAACTGGGGGATGAATTTATTAAATAAAAATTAAATGCTCTGACATTCTAGGTGAGTATCCCTGCGGTCGATGTCGCCGTCGATAAAACGACAGTGCACAGTTTGTGCAGTATGAAGGCTATAATGTTTACTAAGTTTCTTGGACCGGTTGTTGCACTGTGGTGCGCAGGTCGGAACACGTCGGGAAATAACTCCAGCGAGTACTGAAATTGCACTTAACTAACGTGATGTTTTGACGTATGGCTGTATGACACACGGAAGAAATTGTGCGAGGAACCAGCAATTGCAGAGTGTAGGATCCTGGCCTTGATTGCTGTTGGTGATCAAACAATGACAGTAAAAATAAAGAAAATCGGACAAGAATAACATATACCTCCCATACAAACGACTTTTTTCTTTTCTCTTCGAGTTTTTAATTGAATTTTATAATTCATAAAATGGAAAATTTTTTCGAATGCGGGATAAAATTTAAAAATGTTTATAAACCACACTTAAAAATTATAATAACTTTTTTTGCATTATTAAGTTTGCATTAGAGAACATTTCTGCAAAATTTATGATATCTCAAAAACCGCGGAAAAAATTTTTATAATCCCATAAATAAAAATTCACTTATAAAATCGGTGACTCGAAACCGGTTTTGACAAAACTATTTTAAGTGCGTATTTTTTATTTATTTTTATTTTTTATTTCTTCGATTTATAATAAATTTGACATTATATTTTCAACTTTTATATCCACTAACACTTTACTAATTCGTTTACACATATTATTTAATAGTGAAAAATAATTCAATATTTAACTTTTGGTTACTTTATTTTACTCACACAATAACAAAAGGGTTGCTTTCAGACAATAATCCGAAAGCAAAATGAATAAGGAAAGCAGATAATACCCCAATGGCAGGAAATAAATATTACATTATTACATTCGGTCGCACTTCAAAAAGATATCCCTAGTCGGCCCAACACCGGAGTGTCGTCAGTTCTTTCGCGTAGAACTCCATACTAAAAGGAGCATTGCAATTAAATTACATTCCCTCGTTATAGAGGAAGGTCAAGGTGATATACATATATACATAAGCGGGCAAAAGGTCATACATTAACCAAAGGATTTCAGACTAATTAATATTTCTTCATTTCTATTAAAAACGCTGGAAGAGCTAATATAAGTATAATACAAAGCGGCCTAAACCCAGAGAAAATAGCAGTTTCACAGCATGCGTGTTCTAAGGAAAAATCCACAGAAACATCAGTAAGCTCAGTGGTAGCAGACATCGAAAAAACATCCAGACTAGTGCCATAATGGGCGTGCTTAAAGTTTGGGGCATCTCTGAACCTCTCAAGAATGTAATTGAACAAATACTTATGAACAGTTCAATAATTTCAACGCTGGGAGCTTCAACGATAATATCTATAAAGATGGTTCCAAACTAGATAACATACTGGAAGGCGGTGTCTCCTTGCATAACAAGATACCAAAATTGCCTTCCGTCTACAAGACCACTGCAGTGTCTTCCAAGCGGAGATCACAGTAATTAAAGAAGGCCTCCTTGTTCTGACAATGAGTGTGCTCACAACAAGGAATTGTTCCATATACGGATAGTAAGGCGACTATGAGATCACTAAAGTCTCGAAAGGTCTCGTCTCAGATAGTGAAAGAATGCCATAATCTCTTGGTGGATCTTGTATCCTACTTCACGATAAACCCTCAATGGGTTCCAGGGCATAGTGATATCCCTGGGAACCGTGAAGCAGATTAACTAGCCAGAACAGGCACCACCCTAAAAGTAGACTCTGAAAAAGAGGGAACTTATATGCCTCTGGCTACTTGTAGATATTTATTCGACAAATATGTTATAAACATAGCTGAGTCACGGTGGAATCAATACATGACTTGCCCAACAAACAGGCAAACGTGGCATGAATAAAACATGAGCCGCACACACCGATTTTTTACATTAAAAAAAAACGATATAAGAACTTTAGTAAGAGTACTAACGGACCACTGTCTAATTGGCAGGCACGCCAGTAGACTAGGAACGCCATATAAAGACTATTGTAGAAGCTGTCAGGAGGTAGAAGAAGAGGAGACCATTAAACATCTTCTATGTGACTGTAAGGAAACTAATCGCAACTGTCGGACGTGTGTTGGTACGACGTCTCGAAAGTTGCTCATATAAAACTCTTCGTACTAATAAACTTCATCAGTGTTGTTGTAGTTGTAGTAGCGGCAGAAAACATTCCTGAAGTAATTTCGAGGAATAGTGCCGAGTTGACAGTCCTTGGATGGATAAAAATATCTGGGTCCGTTCCGGATACTTAGACTCCACTGTCGAGAGAACTTCATCAGTAGCACGGGGTGGTTCAGAGAGGACACATTAGAGTGAGGGGGCTTAAGTCCCGGTGGTGCCATAAAGGGCCTCCTAAAGGCTTAGGTGCGTCGTAAGACAACTACTCTACCTACCTGTCCTCTTTTTGTTTGCATGAACTATTTCGTTATTGTATGAATAAATGAACCAAAGTAAAAAAATTTAATCAAAGTTAAGTTTACACTATTTAATAAAAAAACAAATACTTAGAAACGAATTAGTGTTAGTGGATATAAAAGTTAAAAATTTAAGTGTAAAATTCATTATACATAGTATCATAGTTCAAATAGTATACTCGTTTAAGATTTCTTTGTGGATTGACTGATATTTTCGGTAGAAGGTCAACTATAGGCACTGGGGTCCACATATTTAGTACTTAGGGGCTTAAACAGTTTTGGTTCGATTTAGACAATTTTTGGCCACAAGGCGGCATACTTTAATCGCATTATTCACGCAAAGTTTTATCCCGATACAGTCATTGTTGCGTGATTTGCATAGTGGAAAGTGAAAGAATCAGATGGAATTTAAAATGGTGTTATATGGGAAGTAGGCGTAGTTGTAGTCCGATTTCGCCCTATGACATAGAAATATGAAAAGAACGTTATGCACCGAATTTGGTTGAAATCGGTTAAGCAGATCTCAAGATATGGGTTTTCACCTAAAAGTGGGCTGTGCCACGCCCACTGTCTAATTTTGAACGCGGTTCGTATAAAGTCATCTCATACCATCCCAGAGATAAAAGTTAATGTCTCTGGCGTGTTTAATGCTTGATTTATCGCGCTTTTAGTAGTTTTTAACAGTACCGTTATATGGGGAGTGGGTGGAGTTGCCACCCGATTTCAACTATTTTCACACCGCCAATAGAAGTGCTAAAAACATTTGCTTCCAGTGAATTTTGTTATTATAGCATTAGCGGTTTAGGAGATATGCACATTAAACCTATTAGAGGCTCCCGCCCCACGCCCACTTAAAAAACTGCAGATGCCCCTCCCTAATGTGATCCTGTGTACCAAATAACAGTCTTGAATCTTATTTCGGAGCTTAGTTATGGCAATTTATTTGTTTTTGATTAATGGCGTTTTGTGGGCGTGGCAGTGGTCCGATTACGCCCATCTTCAATACCAACCGTCTCACGGTACCAAGAAACATGTCTACCAAGTTTTATAAAGATATCTCAATTTTTACTCAAGTTAGAGCTTGCACGGACGGACGGACAGACAGTCACCCGGATTTCAACTCGTCTCTTCATCTTGATCATTTATATATATATAACCCTATATCTAACTCGATTAGTTTTAGGTGATACAAACAACCGTTAGGTGAACAAAACTATTATACTCTGTAGCAACAGGTTGCGAGAGTATAAAAACAATCGTGTTAGTTACACTATTTATAACTAGAGAACGGTTTAACTGATTTGGCTGAAAATTGGTGGGGAGATATTTTATAAACAGAGGACATAGGATACTTTGTATTTCTTTATGTTTAAAGTTAATACAATTCATATATACAAAATTATATTTCAACCCATAAGCATGTGTTCAAAATTCATGAAAGAATCATTTGAATATTTTATTACTTCAAAAAAAATATAATAATAACACATAGATATTGCTAGAATACATTAATTTTTCAATACATACATATGTATATGGATTATACTGATCGTTGCTACTGAACAAAGCGGTGTTTTTTTGACGAAATTAGTTTTGAGATACAACAGTTGTTGCCAGGCTATCAGATGTATTTTAAATAATTCGCTACTGTTGTTGATAAAATTGAAAACGTATATTATCTAAAATTTCGGAATTACGTCACATAATCTTGTGTTAAAAACTGTTCATATTATTCAGCGTAATTTCACTCTACCTAAATTATGTAATGGTACACGCTAAAAACCATTTTGACTTGAAAATTTAATGGAGAAATGGTCCTCTTGCCACGTTTTTCAATGGTACTGTCAGATGTACAATACGATACGAAAGAGCTGAATTAAATTGAATTTGAAAATGTTTATAATTAAAATTATAAATACTATTATTGTTAAAAATTAAGAATCATCACCCTATTGTGCATTCGTCACAGATAATGATTGGCCATTGCTGAGTTTTTTGCAATATTACATGTTGGTTCTTCAATATTTTGAAGATTTAACGACAATTTTAATGCTGAATGAGCCGTATGGTATCTTTCTAACAATGTGACTGCTACTCAAGAAGCAACTGCAATCGCAATGTTGGATCTCGCACGAACAGTGGGTAAAAGTACTGACATGAAAAATGTTTTACCAGTTTCACCAGGGGCATCAAGGATATATAAAACACCATTTCCATCATCAATTTCCTTCATTAATGTATCACAAACTTTCTTTTGTTGGGGATACAACAGGTGTATATTCCTTTGAACTACTAAATCTAATTATTAATGATCATATTCACGTTCTAGTTCCAATTCTCGTTTAAATGCGTCATTCATTTCACGATTTGGCCCTGCCAATCTTAACCTGACTAGTACAACTACCGCACATGAGGTAACAGATGACTTCGATGAAATGATGATATCAAACAATGTGCGTATCTGACTTGGAGATGCAGAGATAATGGCTTCAACGAGTGTCCCCTCAATGGGTATCGTTTTTTAGTAAATTGAGTTCTTCACATGCAGCACCATATTTTGGGAATATTATTCCATTAATAGTCCGTTGTGTTTCAAATGACGTTGGAACATTCATCATTCTTTGGTTGAACTGTATACATACGACCATAGAGCATCAGCATTCCAAATGTAGTATCGTGGCATCTCCGAGCAAAGCAAAGCTCGTGGAAACGTATCGCTTTGGCAGATCGCAAAAAAACTGGTCAATGTTGTCGCTGGAAGTGTTTCAGTACGTTGAACAACATTCGAAGAAGTAAAACACACTCGTTAGCCATTATCCAGATACCCCAACTAATGTACAATTGTATGACGACGTATGCGAATATATGCAAAATCATTCATTACAATTGAAGTAACGACCAACTTGATAGCGCACAATTTCTTCGTTGGTATTCGAGGATTTTATGCCAAAAACAGCCATAATGCTGCCTTTCGTACCATTTTATGACATATTTGCAAATGTATTTTATGGACTTTACTGAATTGCAATACTCAACATTGCGATGTGTCTTGAACGTTTTGGAAATAAGTGGCGAATATGGAACAATTCAACTGTTGTCAACAACGATATGTTTTCATCGGGAATCTCGGCACATATGATATAATCTATTTGGTTTGGTTAAATTCTTTCTACTAACCAAATAATGTGTGCGTGCGGCAGGGGTCGTTTTTACAATTCAATACATCCAGCATCGAGTATCTCCAAAGGCGCGTTGTTTAACAATATGGTTCATCAGGGGCAGACTTTGAAACACGTGCTGGATTATAGGTAAACTGGACAACCGTAATTACAAACATACGTCATTGCATTTTGCCCATATTCTTGCATATGACATGACATACCTATGTACGTTGCAGGCTGAATAGTCAATCGATCAATATTAGCTGCAGTTTCTTTGGTACGAATTGCATGAAAGTTAAACGCTCTATTTCTAGCTTGGCGTACATGTCGTCAAACAATGTAAAATGTGCGTTCGTGAGTTCAAGATGGTCGTTTATCTGCATGATGTTCATGTAGTAGTTGCTGCAAATCGTAAAGAATTCCTGTTTTCATTGCTGTATTGTTCTTTTAACGTCAATCAAGTTGTTTTTCCATGTTGCCCTTGAAGTACATATATTGGTAAAAATTTATGCTGTCTATATTCTATAGGTTGTAATGATCCAATTCGATGGTGAATCTGTCCGTGTATCTCCAAAATATAAAAACTACTATTACTGATTTATAAACACTTATTTTAGACTTTCCAAACATAATACTTACGAATAAGTATAGTCAGTTAGTCTGCTACTGTATTGTATGTAAGTACAAAAATAAATATATAAATGCCTTGATTGTTGGATCGCATCATTGTAATGATGATTATGTCCCGTTCCGAAGAAATTTTAAATTATTGTACTCTTGCAGATATGTGTTATTTTATTTTTTGAAGTAATAAAATATTGAACTGATTCATACCTGAATTTTGAACATAAGTTTATTTGATATATACATTTTTATTTATGCATTGTATTGACTTTTATAATAAAAAGATAAAAAGTATCCTACGAGAGTCCCCTGGTTCTAAGCTGCTTCTTCACTAAATTCCAGCAAAATTGGTTCAGTCGTTCTTCAATTATAAATAGTGTAACTAACACAAGTTTCTTTTATATATGTGTATAGATACACAGTAGTGGTCAATAAAATGATACCACGGTTGAAAACTTTGTATTGCTGTATTTCAAGTACTTTTTTTTCCCCCGACAGGATTACGGCTGTTCTGAAAGCTCGAGGAGGGCATACAAAATACTAACTTTTATTAAAACATTTATTTTTAGTTATAAAACCTATCTTTGTCAGAACAACGAAAAAATTCACTAAATTCAAAGAAGATTAAATTTAATGATACTTATACGCCAGCGAGCCACAGTTTTTTTTCTTCTAATTAGCACTTACATTAGGATAAGAACTTTAAAAATTAAAATTTTGTATGCAACAATACCTTCTTTTCAAAACACGGTTAAGTAAGAGAAATAAAAAGTCAAATATTCGGGAATTTGATTTGAATTTCAAAATTTCATGGGTGGTACCATTTCATTGACCACTACTGTATGTATGTACAAGCACATATCCATATAAACGATTTTCCAATAAGAGGTATATGATGATTAAAAATAAACAATAATTGTTAAGGGAATTCAAATGTTTTTTTGAGTGGGAAGGAATTCGATGAACCTAAGTAGGAGTATTTTTTCCATTAAATCAAGTAGTATGTCATGAATAGGACGTTCAATATTGACTTCCAAAGCATAAAGCAATGACTTCAAATAACCTTACAAGAAGTAGCCTAATGGGGTTAAATCACAACTTCTTTGAAACCATTAAATGTCACAATTACTTGAAATCATCGAATCTCCAAACTTTTGTCGCAAAAATTAGTTTTTGCACGAGCAGTGAGGCACGTAGCCCCGTCTTGTTGAAACCAGATGTTGTCAAGATCAACTTCTTCCAATTGCCAATCTATACTGCTCTCCATTGACAATAACGGTATCACCGTTAGGTGAACGTAATGGTTGTTCATGATTAATTTTTGCATTTTCTTCGCACCATAATCGATAGTTAATTTACCGCACCTCTCAGATGAAAGTGAGCCTCATCGGAGAAGAGGATTTTCTTAAAAAACTCGTTACCGTTTTCAAGTTGTTCTAAGACAAAATCAGAAAATTCTCGACGTTCACGGTGGTCCAATAGCTTCAGTTCTTAGGTTAGAACAATTTTTAACGGATGCAAGCTTAAACCCTTTCTCAAAATCACATAGTTTTGGTTTGAGACAGTCCCAATTCTTGAGAATGTTTTGGAATCGACAAATTGCGTTCTCCAGCAACACTTGCCTGAACACCAAAAATATTTTCATTACTTCGAGCGGTTATTTGTCTTATTGGGACTTGAACATTATGTAAAGATAATGTACGCTCGAAATTTTCAACAATTCAACGAATAGCGAGCACAGGTGGACGATTATTACGACCATAAAATAGCAAAAGCACACAAAAAGTTGCAATTGAAGAACAATTAAACTACAGATCGTGCAATTAAAAATAGTCGAAACGACACTTAGAAATTATATGATCCCTTTAGAAAACCCGAAATATATACACATCAATCGATATATACACATATCAATATATATATATATATATATATATATATATATGGGGCCGTCCATATATTACGTCATTCTAAATTAGGGGGTGGGGGGGGGGTGTTGGTCTGCGGATGACGGTAACTGATAAATAGGGGGGGGGGGGGTTTCGAAATTGACGTCATTCTTATTTATTTATTTATAGTTTATTTTTCACGTACAAAAAGATTATTTCTAAAAAGAAATTTCTTCCAGCACACCTAGTAAAATACTAGCTGCCCGCCCCGGCCTCGCCCGTGGTACTTACATGTATTATACATATAAACTTTCTTTAAGAATCAGTCTATCTATTTAAAAAAAAAANGCGTAAACTGAAGAGTGAATTTGACCCAAAGAAATTATATCAATGATTATTGCCAAAGTATAATAATAAAAGGTGATTCTATAACCAAGTGTTTTAATCATTTAATACCCTATTTTTCTCAAATCTGCAATGTTTTATTTTGTCAAACTAGTAATGACGTCAATTTTGGGAGAAGGGGGAGGTCATTAAGAAATGACGATAGGATGATTATAGGGGGGGGGGTCTAAAATCTGAAAAAATCAATGACGTAATTTATGGACGGCCCCTATATATATATATACATATCTATACATATCTATACATATCAATATATACATATACAGCTGTGTTCACAAAAATAGCAGTGCGAGAAATGCAATCAAGTAATGTTATTTTTTTTCAAGTTCCGTTACGTTTATTCCAACGTCTACGCATTGTTGTTGTAGAATGGAATGTGTATATGGAAGAAACGAAAAAATCCCGTTAGATTTGCGATATTTAAGTAAATGAACAACTCTTTTTGCTAGAATCACCAGTCTTTGGCTGTTCATTAAAATAGCAGTGCGTATTATGATAAGCCAAAAAAATTTTGTTAAGACGTTTAATTGATAAAAAGTAAGTGGTTTTGTGTTAGTGAATATTATTAACATTAGAAAACACTAAAATAAATTTATATTTTTTAACTTAGTGGGAACGGCCAAACATTGTACTCCTGAAAAAAGAAATATTATAGTGCAACTAAGAAACCTGTAAAAACATATAAAGACATCCAAGAAATATGTGGATGTTCTGCTAAAATGATTCATAATGGTTTAAACTTTGAAGAAATGCCCGAAAGTCGTGGTATCCAACGTAAAACCACGCCTCATGAGGACCGATCTATTGTGCGATATAGCAGGGCGCAGCCTTTTGCATCGTCCAGCAAGATAAAAAATGACTTAAGTTTGAATGTTAGTGGCGTTACTATTCGGCGACGTCTTAAAGAACAAACTCTCAAAGCGTGCCATCTACGAAAAGTTCCACTGTTAGCCACCAGACATGTCAAAGCACGTTTGGAGTTCGCCAAAAGTCACCTTAACTGGCGAAATATTTATAAGGCATTGCGCAAATGAAAGCGATATGATAGCGATGGCGGCGCTGACTCGTACGATGGCCATGGGATAGGACCTCCAGGCCCTATGGCGAGGCACAGACAGCATACTCCCCTGACCAACCTTCTCCAGCTCCATGTCGCAGGAACCACCCAGACTCCTGAAGTCACCGCCGGAATGTCACATGATCCGGCGCAATTTTTGCACTGGCTGTGTCCTTCGTGGTTCTGGCTGCGCACACACGAGGAGTGCGTCGTACGTTGCCCCATGCCAGGAGTCTGCCCCCACGTGACACGCGACAAACGCGATCTCTACTTCAACTGCAACGGACTCCAGAGAAGAAAATAGTTGCATTCATGAGCCGGAGCGCGTAACGATAGCTGCGGTCCAAGAAACCAAGCTAAACAGCCGCTCGATCTTCTGATTTGCAGTTTCAACGTTTTACGGGATCGCGAGCGAGATAATGGAGGCCTAGCCTTCCATTGCACAACACTGTTTATCGATGGTGACATTGACCGAGGGAACTACCCTGAAATGCTGGAGCTGTCCGGCAGGCGAAGTCGAGCCATACAAATACAATATATATCCCCATTTGCCCAACAGGATATCACCCGAACAAAGATGCGCTTCGTGGTGAAAACCCTTTGGTGCTAGGCGACTTTAAGCGCATCACGATCTTTGGCATTCGCCCTGTCAAAAGTTCAGGGGATGGAGCTGGCGGAACAGATAGACGATCTGACTTTCTGCAAATGAATGACAGCCTCACCAGAATTATGAACCTGCTCGCCAGATATTACCATCGCCAGCGGAGTCTGATAAATAGTATACTGGCGACCTGCCACCCCGCATCAGACCATCTGCCCATAATTATCTCTGATCGAGAACCTCCGACTTTATTTCTGTGGACAACCGCACTTTGTTAACTTTAACAAAGTAACTAGGTCGGCTACAGAATTTACTGAGAGCACTTCAACGCACTATCCATTCCTACGGAGTCATCGTTGGCGAGCGTCAATCTGCAAGGTGATCGCTGCCGCTGTTCGCTTCATACCGGTGGAAGAATCGCGAACTCCGCCCTAATTTCCAGCCGAAGCAGCTGTATTAGCAAACGACGAACCTACGCCATGCGATCCCTGTGATCCGAATAAGGGATCTCAATTTGGAGATCTGCAAAAATCATCATAAGCGGAAAATGGATAGAGCACCTGAAGTCCGCAACCTCTCTACCGGGTGAAGCTTTGAATACCGTCAAGGCCCTTTCAAATCCAAGAGAATGATGATCGGGTTCAATTCGATGGCCATGCCTCTGACCGAAGAAGTGCGGCTTTGCCGGAAGTTTACAGTGCACCCTTCGACTAACAAAGCCTCCTTGCGAAGGAGATCCTCGTAGCGTTGGACGTCGTTTTGACACAGTCAATCACACAACGCACTTGAGGACCTAGAACAATAAACGCACCTCAGGCTGGCTGGGACTATGAACTACCTGAGCCCGGCATTCATCCGGTACTGTTGCGAGGTCAAACTCCAAACTTAGGAAAATTAAAAGGGATTCGCGGTGTCCTCCCACTACGTTTAATTTCTATATTTCAACCCCAGCCACCGGGAATTTGCACCTCACGTCGATGACTGCACGATATTGACACCGGGCAATGGAATCGATGGCATGTGCTCAAAAGTAACAGCTACCTCTCCGATCTTCTCGCTTCTCTGCAAGGAGCATCTTTACAAATTGGACGAAGGAGTACAGACTGACCCTGAACATTTAGTCGATGGACAAAATTCGACAGTAAATAACCCTAAATTTTAGGCGTCACATTGACAGTCGTCTTTACCTTCACACGACCGTGATAACTGCCAAAGTACAGAGCCGGAACAAAACCTCAAGTCGTTGCCGGCAGCTCTG